CCATTAGTGAGACCATCCTCACCATTTAGTAGAGATGGTGAAATTCTGTCTCTACCAAAATACAAACATTAGCTGGGTGTGGCAGCTGGTGCCTGTAGTCCCAGCTACTCAGGAGGCTGAGGCAGGAGAATTGTTTGAACCTGGGAGGTGGAGGTTGCAGTGACCTGAGATTGTGCCTCTGGTCTCTAGCCTGATGTCAGAGCAAGACTTCATCTAAAAAAAAAAAAAAAAAAAGATAGATAATAAAATAAAATTACCTACTTCAAGTAAAGGGGTACGTTTGCAAAGATTCCCTGCAGGGAAAGAGGGAAAAGTACCACTTTTTTCAGGACTTCCCTTGTGTCAAGCGTTGAGATGGTATCTTTGCAGTGTTGTCTCATAGAAATTGGCCAAAGCAAAAACAAACAAATAAAAAAGAAATTGGCCAAACCCCACCTGAGAACTGTTCCCAGGGGCTCCACAGCACTCAGCCAATATGCCCTTATATTCTCTTGGCCAAGGAGAGAGCACATGCTTTAAATAAGCCAATCACCTCCTCTCTCCCAGGAACTTGGCACTTGAGTAGTGTGTCAAAAAGACTGGAAATGATGGAAAGCGATTTGTCCCCTGTGGCGATGTCCTGAAGAGATTCTCCATTAGATCCATGAAGTAGCTCTGATTCCTCTAAGTGTTTTCTTGTCTTTTAACGCTTTGAATAACCCCCATCCTTCCAATGTATTTTTTCCTCTAAGTTAATTAGAGGAAAACCTTTGCTCGCAAGTGAAGACCCCTACTTGCTACCTCTATCACTCTGTCTCTGACATCTCCACCCCTGGGCCTGCCCACTGCATAATTCCAGAAAGCACCATTCATATTGTATTGTATGGAGTTATGAATGGTTTTCTTGGCATTGTTCAAGTCATGAGTCTGTTGCAACAGTCTGTTTCAGACACTCCTGCCAGGGGCCGTCTTTCTAGAGAACACATATCAATGTGTCATTTCTTTCCTCAAAAACCGTCAGTGATGCTCCATTCCGATAAATACTAAGATTCAAACAGGCTTCAGGACACTGCACCTGCCTCCCACTGGTTCTCTCAGCATCACCATTCACTGCATGCCCCTCCCTTTTACACCATCTGGCACCCAAGGCCAGGCCAATCAAAGAAGCCATTCTACACCCTGCATTCTTCATCTTCTTTGCCTGATCCAGCACAGGAATCTCTTCCCTTTTTTCTCTCAGTACCTCCTCAGTGAACATTCTAACCACCTTAGGAGACCCTGCTGACATTCTACCGTCATTGACTTCCTAGACCTTCCTGCTCAAATGACCACGTTACTTAATCTTGTGGTTGACCAGTTGTACTTTGTACCCCTGATTATTGCACTTCTGTTGTTTGTCTCTAATGAGAGTCTCTATCAAAAGTCTTTTCTTGGCTGAGTGCAGTGGCTCATGTGAGTTTGTAATCCCAGTGCCTCAGGGTGCCAAAGTGGAAGGATCCCTTGAAGCCAAGAGTTCAAGACCAGCCTAGGCAACATAGTGAGACCCCGCTGAGCACAGTGGCATTCAGCTGTAATCCCAGCTACTTGGGAGGCTGAACTGGGAGATCACTTGAGCTCAGGAGGTCAAGGCTGCAATGAGCTATGATGGCGTTGCTTCACCCCCGCCTGGATAATAGAGCAAGATCCTGTCAAAAAAACCCAAAACACCAAAAGCTTCTTCTCCCCTATTTTATTGTGAATTCCCAGAGGACAATGACTACACTACCGGCCTGGCATCTTCCACAGGGCCCTAGAAGAGCACCTCACTCGCTCCATGCTTTCTATTCAACAGAATGGAAATCTTTACAGTTCTTTCCAGGGAGCTGGAAAGAGTTAATATGGGGAATCCTAGGAAAGAAATTTTTTTTAAGACAGAGTCGCTCTGTTGCCCAGGCTGGAGTGCGGTGGCGCAATCTCAGCTCACTGCAACCTTCTCCTTCAGGGTTCAGGTGATTCTCCTGCCTCAGCCTCCTGAGGAGCTGGGACTACAGGCATGCACCACCATACCCAGCTAATTTTTGTATTTTTAGTAGAGACAGGGCTTCACCATGTTGGCCAGGCTGGTCTCAAACTCCTGAGCTCCGGCAATCCACCCGCCTCGGCCTCCCAAAGTGCTAGGATTACAGGCATGAAGCACCGCACCCACTGGAAAGTAATTTTTATGAACTAGGTTTGTCCTCTTATGTCTTGCATCATACAAGTCTCTCTCTCAAGCTCTGTGTCCCCATTGCCACTGGAGGTTCTGAGTTCCTGTTCAGCTTTGTGATAACAATGCACTTTGCAAGAAGCAGCCTTTTTTTTCCCTTTTATACAGCCTCTCGCTCTGTCACCCAGGCTGGAGTGTGCAGTGGGGCAATCTCAGCTCACTGCAACCTCCACCTCCTGGGTTCAGTCGGTTCTCCTGGTTCAGCCTCCCAAGTAGCAGGGATTACAGATGTGCGCTACCACACCTAGCTAATTTTTTTGTATTTTTAGTAGAGACAGGGTTTCACCATGTTGGCCAGGCTGGTCTCAAATTCCCGACCTCAGTGATCTGCCTGCCTTGGCCTCCCAAAGTGCTGGGATTATAGGCATGAGCCACCATGCCTGTCCAAGAAACAGTCCTGCTCTTCAGGTAAATTTTCTTCACTTTATTACCAGAGAGAACTGTGTAAAATACCTGAAAGAGTGAGTGAATTCAATAAATAAATGTATTAAGGGAAAAATTTTTCTCAAAAATAGATGCTTTTCTTCAAATGTCAAATGACCTGTCTTCATTCTTGGAACTTTATTTTCCGAGAGACAGTGAGTATGTGCATCATTTTAAGAATGCCTTTGACAGCAGCATCTTAAATTTTAAAGGGGAAAATACAATTATATACAGAAGAGGGTCATACGACATATTATATTACTTTTTTTATTAAACTGTGTCACACTGTACCCAGGATAAAAACAATAGTGGAATTTAAGGGCATCATCAGGGAGTTGAAGTTTCTCAGTTGGAAATCCTGCACAGTTAGAAGCGGGCTATATTTAAGAACGATGGTATTTTATTTTAGTAATTTGTTCCCTTCCTGGTAGAACATTCATTTCTGTTACTTTTGTGAATTTCTGTTGCTTTTAGTCTAATATAGTGACTCATTTTTCTGTACGGAATCACTGACTGTCATTTCCTAATAAAAGATCATTGCATTATCTGGCATGGCCCCTTTGAAGCATCCTCATTCTTGCTTCTCCAGAAAAGGAATTCCTTCATAATGAAAAGAAGGAAGGAAAAAACATAGGAAGGAGGGAAGAAAGAGGGAGGGGGAAGGGAAGGAGAAGGGAAGAAAGGAGAAAATGAAGGTAGGAAGGAGGAAGGAACGAAAGAAGGGAGGGAGGGCAGGAAGAAAGGAATGAGGGGGAAAGAAGAAAGGAAGGGAGGGAGGAGAGAGGGAAGAAAGGAAGGGAAGGAGGAGAGGGAAGGAATGGATGGAGGGAGGGGAGAGGAAGAAAGGAATGAAGGGGAAAGAGGAAGGGAGGGAGGGAGGGGAATGGAAGGAAGGAAAGGAGGGAGGGAGAAGGGGAAGAAAAGGGAGAAAGGAAGGAAAGAAGGAAGGAGAGGAAAAGCCGCTACCTTCCTTTAAGCTGGTGCACAGCTTGAGCGATGCTCTTTCTCGAAGGCCTCACACGGCCCCTCAGGCTCCTGTGTGTGAAATCTCCACCCTCCTGTGGTGGGGCTGGTTCTCAGTCTGTCCCCTACTGTGGCCAGCTGGTTGCTTTCCTGTCTTCACAGTCCATCCTCCACCGGTGCCCTCCCAATCTTCTCCCTTTTCTTTTCCCATGTGCTCTTTTTTCTCCTCCCTTTATTTCTGCATCTTCCTCCTTTTCACATTCACTTAGCAGAAAGAGCAGACACACGCCCATCTGAGGACTGTTTGAGTGTCTCCAGAACAGAATATCAACTCCCATTGTACCGCTTCTCCAAGGTTCTTTCTACCACCACGCTACCTTCCCTATTCAGTGCCCATAAAACCCCAATTCCTTCTTTGGGTGCTGTGTACCCCTCAAGACTTCCATAGTTAAGGAAATAATTGAAGACCCTTACTCCACTCTAATCCATCTGTCTTTAACTACTTTAGAACACCTGTTCTCATACAATGACAAAATGGTGAATTTATCCATCTTTAAAACAAAAAAAAACAAGATTCTAGCCAGATGTGATGGCTCATGCCTATAATCAATCCCAGCACTTTGAGAGTATAAGGTGGGAAGGTCTCTTGAGCCCAGGAGTTCCAGACCAGCCTGGATAACACAGCAAGATACGGTCTCTACAGATTTAAAAAACAGCTGGGCATGGTGGTACATACCTGTAGTCCCAGCTACTTGGGAGGCTGAGTTGGGAGGATTACTTGAGCCCAGAAAGTCAGGGCTGCAGTGAGCTATGTTCCCACTCCAGCCTTGGGGACAGAGCAAGACCTTGCCTCAGAAAAAAAAAAAGATGATTCTAAGACCTAGGTTTTAAATTAATTTTAAATTATACAAATAATATGAAAAACTTTGAGAGTTATAGACAAATTTAAAGTCTTTTCTCGTCCAATGTTAATACCTGCTGTCACCAAGCTGGTGTGTATCCTTCCAGAGTATTTTCTATGCACTAACATATATGTTTGGGGAGCTGTTGAAGCATATATAGTTATTTGATAGTGGGACAGGCGTGGTGGCTCACGTCTGTAATCCCAGTACTTTGGGAGGCGGAGGAGGGTGGATCACCTGAGGTCAGAAGTTTGAGACCAGCCTGGTCAACATGGCAAAACCCCATCTCTACTAAAAATACAAAAATTAACTGGGCATGGTGGCATGTGTCTGTAATCCCGGCTACTTGGGAGGCTAAGGCAGGAGAATCGCTTGAACCTGGGAGGTGGAGGTTGTGGTGAGCAGAGACTGTGCCATTGCACTCCAGCCTCCGTGACAAGAGCAAAATTCCATCTAAACTAAATAAATAAAGTAAGTAAATAAATAGATAAAGTTATTTGATTTTATTTTAGGTTCCAGAACTAATAATGGGAGTCAAGGCCAAATCTTTAAGAAGCTACAAATGCCTGTTAATGGCCTTTAGTGATATCCTTGTGCTGTGTGGTGTCATTCTCAAAGGCAGACAATTGCTCTACCAAACTGCCAAACTGCAGTTTAGTGTCTGATGACAACTGGGGATGTTTGAGAAACGGCATTGCCCCGTAGGATGCCTGGGGCCTCGCTTGCTGCTGGTAGTCATGGCAGGGATGGATGCGGGAGGCTGGGATTCCCCCCAGCGTGGCTAGGAGTGTTGACTGCCATCTTCCCATAGGGGTCTGCTTCTCAGGTCCATTCTGCTTCTCAGAATCTCAGAATTCTGTCATGGATGTTGCAAAAACCAGCTAAGGAGGCCAAATGCACTTGATTTACATTCTTCTTTCTAGATTTTTGGATAAAACAATTTAAAAATTTCACCCAGAATAACTCCTTATTTTTGTAAAGCAAAATCAAATAAGCCAAGTGCCATTGGAGCTCCTGGCATCTTCCTAATACTTAATACTTGATGAAAGTCCTGCTAGACAAGCCAGACTTGATGAGGACGGGAAGCCGATATTTAGTCGATGGTGACATCATCATGTCAGTGTTTTTTTCATTTTCTAAGGAACGCTGGCTGCACACCAAGAAATGAAAATTGTTGGTTGATGGATGCTAATGGGAAACCTAATGGGGTAGTAGAGGCCAGCACTTTTCTCACTATGGCCCATGGCAAAGCACAAGATTGATGGAGAGATAAGAGCACCGCCAGTTCTTTTATAAGTAAAATGTTTCTCCAGTGATGCGGTGAAGCTCCTTTACTCGCAGAAGCCTGAACCAGTAGGAAAGAAGGCCAGGCATCATTCAAGTTAGTCCAACAGCAAAACATATTTACATACCTACATAAATATGTCTATTACCTTTCTATACAATGGTATCTCTTTACAAAGAAAATGTGTTCATTATTTCTAAAAATAGAAATATTGCATAGTCAAAGGAGGGAATCACCTTTATTCAACTGCAAAGAAATAATCCACTGTTAGTATTTTCATGTGTGTCTTTCCATTCTTTTTGTTGATATGTGTATACATTTTGAAAACATCTTCCTGTGAATTTTAAGATATGTATAGACTTGTGTGGCCCCCATCAAAATCAGAATATCCAAAAATTCTATCACCCCCTCAAAATCCCCTCTTATATCTCTTGATAGTCACACCTTCCCTCCCTCAAATCTCTCCATCTACTGATCTGTTCTCAGTCACTATAGTTTTGGGTTTTTGAAAGGTCATATAAATGGAGTTATAGAGTATCCTCCTAAGACTGACTTATTTCACTCCGTATGTATGACATTAATTTATGATGTATGTATCAATGGTTCATTCATTTTTATCAGTAAGTACTATTCCATTGTATGACTGTTCCCATGGTTTGCTTATTCATTTATTGGTTGAAAGGCATTTGGGATGTTTCCAATTTTGGTGATTGTGAATAAAGTTGCTATAAATAGTTATGTACAAATTTTTGTGTCAGCATAAGCTTTCATTTCTCTAGGGTTTAAATACCTAGGAGAGGGATTAATGGGTTATATGAAGTGTATGTTTAACTTTGTAAGAAACAGCCAAACTTCCAGCCCGAGCAACATAGCAAGACCCAGTCTGATATAGTTTGGATGTTGTCCCTATCCAAATCTCATGTTGAAATGTAATCCCTAATGTTTGAGATGGGGCCTGGTGGGAGGTCATTGGATCATGTGGGCAGATTTCTCATGAATGGTTAAATATTGTTCTCTTGGTACTGCCCTTGCAAGATCCATTCGTTTAAAAGTGTGTGAAAGAAAAATATCTTGGGGCCTCAAAATCACTAAGCTAAAGGGAAAAGTCAAGCTGGGAACTTCTTAGGACAAACCTGTCTCCCGTTCTGTTAAAAATCACCCCTCTGCTCACTGAGATAAATGCATATCTGATTGCCTTCTTTGGAGAGGCTAATCAGAAACTCAAAAGGATGGAACCATTTGTCTCTTTTCTACCTATGACCTGGAAGACCCCTCCCCACTTTGATTTGTCCCATCTTTCTGGACTGAACCAGTGTTCATCTTACATATGTTGACTGATGTCTCATGTCTCCCTAAAATATATAAAAGCATACTGTGCTCTGACCATCTTGGCCATATGTCATCAGGACCTCCTGAGGCTGTGTCACCAGTGCGTGTCCTCGAACTTGCCAAAATAAACTTTCTAAATTAACTGAGACCTGTCTCAAATTTTTGGGTTCAAATTTTGGTAACCATGAAGGGATTCTGAGTGGAGATGTCTCTGACCTTTGACAAATCTCCTATTGGTTCTTGGTACCAGCATGAGCTAACTTTATAACTCAAACCAATAGGACAATTTGCTGAGGTCTGGGAGCACCCCCTCCGGAGAATCCCTGATCTCCCAAAATTTGGTCGAGATCTAAAGTTTATTTTGCTGTAAAACTCCCTTTTTTGGGATTTTACTTGCTTGCAACAAGGATGGCAAGTTTTTCTTGCTTACATAATGGTGGGAGGCAGGTAACTCCTTTATGGAGTTTAAGCCCACTTCCAACAAGAAAGATGAGGTTTTTTTCCTGCTTCTAGGGTGGTAGAGAGCCGACTTCAGCCTGAGACCCATCCCTAGGGGTAAGAAAGTGAATTGGGGTTTGTCTTGGCTAAAGTTCAGATTAACAACCAGCTTGTCTTAATTTCTTCTTGCCACTAGAGCGCTCCGTAGTCATGTGAGTTGTGCAATCATTTGTTTTGCTTAACTGGTTTGTTGTTGTTTGCTTCTCTTGTTGTTTCACAATGTCTTTTCCACATTGGGTTTGATCAACTCTATCTGGCATGATCAAATCAAAAGGAAAGTTCCAAATTATGGGGAGCAAGGCCTCTGAGTGGCTAAATTCACACACACACACACGCGCGCACACACACACACACATACACACACACAAAAGGTGGTATGGTGAGGGAGAAAAACAGCCAGCAAAAGGAAACAAAAAAAAAAAAGGGGAAAGATTTTAGGTTTTGATTACTAAGGGGCTTTTTTTACATAACAAGACCACCTTTTTGCTAGCCAGCCCAAACCAAGGGAGTAATGGCTGTACTTCTGAAATAGCAGCAATTTGTCCCAGCTCAAATATGGTAATGAGATTTAAAAAGATTTTCTAAAAGAAGCTCAATGATTAAAAGTCAGCTTAATTAAAAGCTAACATCCAAGAAGTGTGTGTATGTGTACATATGTGTGTTTGTATTTAAAAGGCCTTCACGTTGTTGCTTTTAGTTTTCTTCTAGGACCTTGTCTTTTTTATCAGCAAAAGTTTTTTCTTCTCAGTTGACTGAATTCTGTTTTCTTCATTTACTTCTACTGTGTCTCCTTTCTCTTGTGCTCTCTGTTGCATAAGTGACCTAAAATAGTTTATAATAGCCTGGGGTTCCTTAAAGAAAACTGAGAAGACAGCAGACTCTTTTGGAGGGAGAAACTTGTTTTTCCTTATGGAACCCCAAGAATGTAAACAGGTAAGTTCACCTGAGCTCTTAAACTGCTTACTTTCATATTGTGTTACCTGGCGTGTTTTTTTTTTATTTTTTGTTTTTTCACTAAAATAGTTACTGCCACAGAGGTTACTCATGGGTTTTCAAGGAAGAGTGTTTAGACACTTAGAAATATCTTTGTTAAAAATTTTATTTTTCTTTAAGTGCCGTAAGAGCATCACATGGTCTAGCCTCATAATAATTCTCCCTTTTTGGAGACCCAGGATTCAATGTGGGCTCTGCCCAGAGCTCAGAGATCCAGTTAGAAGATAGGTAGTCCCTATCTAAATAAAACTGGTCTCCTTAGACAATCCTCTGATAGATTTCTATAACTTTATGTTTGATTTGGCATTCGTCCTTAATCTCCCTCTAGCACCACCAGACTTTTTCTCTCTGTACTTTATGATGTAAATTTTGCTATTTGATTTTCTCCTGAGTGTTTTCCTTTAATATATAAATTTAAGGCTATTTCACTGACAACTGCCTAGGATTGTGAAACAGGTTAAAAAAAGTTCTTTTATAAATCTATAAGATGTAGATCTGTAAGACTGTATTTTTTATAAATCAATAGTATTCTATTGGCATGCCTAATCTATGTATTTATGTGTTGTGTACACAATGTTTTACTACTGAAAATATGTAAAAAAGCTCTAATTGGCTTAAGAAAACAAAAGCACTGGAATCAAATACTATATCAGGGAAAAAGAAAAGATTAGTCAAATGCTTTTTCAAATTTCACTTAACCAAAATCTTTAATAAATAAGCTAAAATTATTATTTATTGGTAAAGTAATATTATAAATATCTTAAGAATTGCCAATGTACATTTTTGTTTGCATTTATTAATCAAGCAAATCCATACTTATCCCTGCCAGATGTTATAAAATGCCAAAATTTGGCATAGAGGTTACAAAACTATAAACCCAGCTCAGAACAGAATGATCTTTGCTTGTATAATCTTTAATAAGTAAGACATTGATATTTGTTTAATAAAAATAGCTTCATTTTAAATTTAGTAAGATTACCATAACTTCCCATCTTTACGTGGCCTAGTCCACAGGCAGTAAGGTTTTTTATCTTTGTTTCAAGCTAAACTATAAACCAAGTTCCTCCCAAAGTTAGTTTGGCCTATGCCCAGGAATGAGAAAGGACAGCTTGGAAGTTAAAAGCAAGATAGAGTCAGTTAGGTCAAATCTTTTTCACTGTCTCAGTTAATTTTGCCAATTTTGCAAATTTTGCCAATTTGCCAATTTTGCAATGGCAATTCCATAACTTTAAATGATAACTATCACAGTTTTCATAAACAATCTAGGTAAACAATTAAAATAAAATAATTAGGTAAATGTAATAGAACAAATACTTGTAGACAAATTCATAATTTAGAATCTTTTTTTTTTGAGGCAGAGTTTCGCTCTTGTTACCCAGGCTGGAGTGCAATGGCGCAATCTCGGCTCACCGCAACCTCCGCCTCCTGGGTTCAGGCAATTCTTCTGCCTCAGCCTCCTGAGTAGCTGGGATTACAGGCGCGCACCACCATGCCCAGCTAATTTTTTGTATTTTTAGTAGAGACGGGGTTTCACCATGTTGACCGGGATGGTCTCGATATCTTGACCTCATGATCCACCCACCTTGGCCTCCCAAAGGGCTGGGATTACAGGCGTGACATAATTTAGAATCTTAAGTTAAATTATAAATATTTTATTATTAGGGTATTTTCCAATAAAAATATTTTTGTAGGAAAACATTCTTTCTTAAAAAGAGTATGTCCTTTTAAAAAAGGTGAACAATTTTTTTGTCTAATTCAAAGCTTATTTAAAGGTCATATATAAAACAAGGTAAAAGGAACCAGGAAATAAAAGAGATGTAAAGAAAGTTTTAAAAATAAAGAGGGTTTTGTTTGTTTGTTTTTGGTGAGGAACTTCAAGAGAAATAATTTCATATGAGAAAGAATCTTGTATGGTAAATTTAGTCCTAGAGTAAAATGACTGGTTGTTTAAGAAAGGGATGTTCAGGACAAACCAGAAAGTCAAAGCATGTAATGAACAGTCTGTGTAAATCACAATAAGAGGATTTATTTTTTTTAAAAGCCAAAAATTTTATATGATCAAGTTGTATGATCACATTATTATTAAGTTTTGGTTTGCTTAGGAAAAAAAATTGAGATTTGAAAATTTTTTTTAATTAAGATTATTACATTCATGTATGTTTCTGTATGCACTTTGAAAGTACTTGTGACATTGAGTTACAGGGCTTTGACTCCTGGGTCTAAAAAAGACATCAAGTCCTGCTAAATTTTAAATGCTGACAGTAGTTGAAGACCTATCTTCAGGCCCAGTAGAAGATGCCAATCAAAATAAACTGCATGTGTGAAATACAGGGCCAAAAGTTAAAGCTATTCAACTCCTGAAGGCCCAGGGACTATTGCGGAAGAGGTGGATGAGTAAGATTGTGTAGGCTGATTTTGAGAGATAAAATATGTTCAGGTTCTCTATAAATTAATCATTAATGTCAAAGGCACACTGATGCAAACCAGCCTATGGGCCCCGATGTCAGATTAACAAGGTTTTTTTGAAGCATTAACCAACTCCTTAATACAGGCCACCATGCCAGCTGGTTTCTGTATTTTACTGATAAAAACATACTGATGAACATACTTGGAGCTAAATTTTTTCATATATTCTAAATGTTTCCCTAGGACAGATCCTGAGAAGTATAATTGTTCTTTCAAATTGCATATTTTTAAGGCTTTTAAAAAATACATAATGCCAAACTATCCTACAGAAAGGCTATTAAACACTCATCACAGGTCAGGCACGGTGGCTCATGCCTATAATCCTGTTACTTTAGGAAGTGGAGACAGGTAGATCACTTGAGCTCAGGAGTTCAAGACCAGCTGGCCAACATAAAACCCCATCTCTACAAAACATGCAAAAATATTAGCCAAGAGTGGTGGGATATGCCTGTAGTCCCACGTACGTGAGGGGCTAAAGCAGAAGAATTGCTTGAACCTGGGAGATCAAGGCTTGCAGTGAGCTGAGATCACATCACTGCACTCCAGCCTGGGTGACAAAATAAGATTCCGTCTCAAAAATGAACATAAAAAACAAAAAAGCACTCATGATCAGGATGTGAAATAAGTTGGGTATTACCACTGCTTTCTTAGTAGCTTTAAAAAATATTTTTTTGGTTTTCTTATAAACTATGTTAATTATGTTAATACAATAAGGCTGAATATTTAAATGCACTTTGCCATTTGTATGTCTTTTTGTGGTGTGTGATTGTCTCTTCATGTCCTTTGTGCCATTTTTTATATAGGAACAGATCATCTGCTTCTTACTACTGTGTAATAACTTAATTTTATTGCTAGTGTTTACCTCCCAGAGTTTTACTTCAATGCGTCTAAATTGTGTGGGTGCCTTTTGAGTCTTTTACTATAAACATTATAAACCATGAATCCAGGTTTAGGAAATAAAAATAAACAACAAATAATTGTTTAATAATTATGGCCCAAATAAACATGGGACATACCTATACTAAAAATTCGTTTGCTATTTAACTGAAATTTATTGTTTTGTTTTGTTTTGAGACAGAGTCTTGCTCTGTTGCCCAGGCTGAAGTGCAGTAGTGCGATACTGGTTCACTGCAACGCCTGCCTTCCAGGTTCAACCGGTTCTGCTGCCTCACCCTCCTGAGTAGCTTGGATTACATGCATGTGCCACCATGCCTGGATAGTTTTTGTATTTTTAGTAGAGATAGGGTTTCACCATGTTAGCCAGGTTTGTCTTGAACTCCTGACCTCAGGTGATCCACCCATCTCAGCCTCCCAGAGTGCTGAGATTACAGGCATGAGCCACTGTGCCCGTCCTTTTCTGAAATTTTAATGTAACTGATAATGCTGTATTCTAACAACTCCAGCTAGAGGCCACAACTATAGTGGAGTGTGTCTGAATTCGGTGTTAGGTTTTAAAGTCAGCACATTCGGCAAAAATTGTGAAAGCCAAAAGTTCTTTAAATGGCTTTCAATATGCAGTATGCTTGGAGTTTCACCTTCCATTCTATATGGTAATTCTCATGCACAACAAAGTTAAGAACCTCTCAGGGAATAAAAGGTCATTCAAACCATCTCATTCTCATGACCACAGGTATGGAGAGGAAAAACATGGGGAAGTCAACATGTTCCTGCTCGCCTGCCGGGTTTATTATGTTTGATATCAGGTGTCTAAAATGTTTAAACACGTATTTATTGGTAGTTGTGTTGGTTAAACAAGATACAATAGTGAAGTTCCTCTCACATAGGCATAATGTTCTCAAGTCAGCTCTCAAGAAAAACATGACCACAGTGAGACTCCGCCAAGTTATTTTTATACGTTATTCTTCGATCCATGCTCCCCAAATCCCTCAGTTTAAATTTATTTTCAACAAACATCCTACCCTCAAATTACTCCTAGATATTTTTCTTTTGGTAGAACTTGTGTATTTTGGATCATTCAGTAGCTACTTGAGAGCAGTGGTGGTGAAAGCCTCATATCCCTACTGGTGCAATAGTATCCTGTTCTGGGTCTGTTGTTTCTTTTTATGGATGCTTTTCCAAAAAGTTTGCCCAACATTTTATTCCAGTGAAATATACCTAGTGATACTCAGAAGTCTCAAAGCAATCATTAACCTGGAGTCCAAAACAAAATGTACAGGATGATGTATTTATTTCTCTTGAGCACTGTTCATAAATGACTTTTAAATCTTACTTATTTCTAGAACATGCAAAACATTCCCAGGAAACAAAAAATTGTAATCCTAGCCAAAGCTCATTTTAATAGTATTTGGACTGTAAAAAAGATACTGTCAGATTATCTACATTTTATTCAATATATCTATAGCTACAGTTACTATATATTCAATATATTTATATTAATACATGCATAAAAATGTTCACTTAGACTTTCATCTTACATGTTAGATATATTGCTTTTGTTGGTTAATGTTATCTAAGCACACTGACCTTATATGTCTAGTATAAAAGAATCACCTGGCTCTGTTCATATTGCTTGCTGTGGTCGCTGGGAAATCTTGTTCACTTTTGAACAGATTGACAGGACAAGGAGCAACTTAAACATTCACAAAGAAATATACATAAATACATATTCCTATATATGTATACATATATGCATATAAAATATGTGCAACACATATATACATATATATTTGAAGTTTTTATTTATCATAAATTCAAATGCACAAAAATAGAGAGAATGGTATAACCAACTTCCATGTACCCAATACTCAATTTCAGTTATTATCAACTTTTTCACAATAATTATATCTATTTTAGTAAACTCTTTTACCGTGTAACATACATACGGAAAAATATGTAGATCATAAATGTACAGCTCAATGAATTATTACAAAGTGACCACACCCAGATAACCACCACCCAGATCAAGATATAAACTTTACCAGCAATGCAGAAGCCCCAGGCTCTCCTGCTCACTACATCCTTACAGCTCCCACAAGGAAACTACTATCTTGACTTCTAACATTCCAGATTCATTTTGCCGGTGTTTGAACTTTATATAAATGGAATCATACAAGTATTCTTGTTGTTTAACTTCTTTTGCTTAACATCATATTTATGAGATGGATACATGTTGTTGTGCTTAATAGTAATTTTATGGAACTACACTACAAATTCTTTATCCATTTTATGATAGATGGGCATTTGAGTTCTGTTTTGGTCAACATATATTTTAGTGAATATATGTAGGCATTATAGCTAGGAGTGGAATTTCTGGGTTATGGAATGTGTGTGCCAATTTTCCATAAACTTATACTCTTAGCAGTGTATAAGCATTCAGGTTGTTCCACATCCTTGTCAATACTGGAATTGTCAGTCTTTCAAATTTTAACTATTTTAATGCTTGTATTGCTGCATCTCATTGAGGTTTCAATTTGTAGTTTGTTGATAAGTAATGAGATTGAACATGTTTTCATTTTTGTTGACCGTTGGCTATCTACAGAAGGAGAATATTTGCTGGATGGATTCAAGTAGCTGTTTTCCTCTGGATTATCATTGTTGTTTTAACAACTTCATTGAGCTATAATTTACATACCATGCAACTCACTCATTTTAAGTGTTCAATGATTTTTAGTAAATTTATCAAGCTGTGCGATCATCACAATCACATAGTTTTTAGGACATTTCTATCACCCCTCAATAAAACCCCTCATGCCCTTTAACATTTAACCCCCCTTTCCACACTCACCTTCAGGAAACCATTCAGCTCTTTTCTCACTCTATACATTTGCCTTTTCTGACTCTTCTAAGCTTTCTTTTTCATAAATTAATAAATTAGTAATGTTATTTATCCATCAGTTTCTGTCTGTGGCTAATATAAATTCACCCTTGAAAGACAGGTCTGTTTTTAGTGTCCTAACAAGTAAGCTGTCTCCAGCTCTTGAATTCTCCTGCATTCTCCAGCGTCAGTGCTCTTCAGCTAAAGACCGCCGGGAACACACTTGTAGTTGGCTTTATTTCCTTGTTGCAGCAAGCGAGAATGCACACCAAGAGGAATCATGGGACATCTAGTAAGAGGGGGTGGAAGGAAATTTGTAAGAATTGAGCTTGTGTTTGGTGGTTTGGGGAGTGTTTTAAAGAAGTGAAGCTTTGCTCTGGATCAAATGCTGTCAGGAAGCAGGGGGTAATTCTTAAAATTGGATATCTAATTTAAACTCTTATCTAGAAGGAGGGTGGACTAGACTCAGGCCTATATTGTAATTGGTAAAGAAGCAGTAGTCACTATTCTTAGGCAAGATAGGGGATGTTTGGTCATTTTGTGGTTTGGACCATGTTCGGGTTTTGGTAGGTTGTTGAGACATGATTACTGAGGGTTACAGGGTTTTTGTCTTGCTACATCAGCACAGCCTTGTCTAATGTTCATATTCTGTGAAATTGCTTATATTTGACAGGAGAATGCCAAGTCCTGTCTGTAAGAACCAGGCCAACTCCTCATGTCAGTGGCTGCTTTTCTCTTTCTCACCAAGATAATGGCATCCAGTGGGCACCTTGTTTAGAGAGCCTCCAGCCACTCACTCCTCTGTACTATATAATTTCGCCTTTTTTTTTTTTTTTTTTTTTTTGAGACGGAGTTTCGCTCTTGTTACCCAGGCCCAGGCTGGAGTGCAATGGCACAATCTCGGCTCACCGCAACCTCCACCTCCTGGGTTCAGGCAATTCTCCTGCCTCAGCCTCCTGAGTAGCTGGGATTACAGGCACGCGCCACCATGCCCAGCGAAGTTTTTGTATTTTTAGTAGAGACGGGGTTTCACCATGTTGACCTGGATAGTCTGGATCTTTTGACCTCATGATCCACCTGCCTCGGCCTCCCAAAGTGCTGGGATTACAGGCTTGAGCCACCGCGCCCGGCCAATTTTGCCCTTTTTTGACACTTCTACAGAAATACGAGATTACTGTGTAAACTCTAACATTCAACCTGAAATTATGACATTTTTTCTAGATTTATATATGGTATGCATTTCATCTTATAAGTGAAGCAGTGAACAACAATATTAGCACTTTGCTTTCTTTCATGATTCTAGGAATCTTTTCAATGAAGCAGTATTTGCAGTTCATATAGCTCACAAAGTGTTTCTAAGGAGAATATAAGAACTCTTATCAAAGTGTTTAAAGATATTTAAGTTAAAAATACATCAGAGACAAGAAAAAGTTAAGCAGAAAGTTGCTTTGCAGGCATAAATTCAGAGGAAGTAGAATTAGTTTTATGATTAGAATATATCCATCTACATCACAGAGCTACACTCTTGTCTTTCCTGAGTGATACTTTGGTATTTGCCTCTGTGGCTTTCATTTTTCCAGGTTCTGCTGGCCAAAATAATCCCCCTTCTGGTTGCAACTTCTATGTTAGCTTATAAATAGCCTTTATATTAGCTAAGTTATGTTCTGAGAACCACTATTTATCTTAAAGCTTAACATTTTATATATGTTGGCGTCAATCTACCACTAGTTACATTTATTTTATTTATTTTGTTTTTTCTCTTATGTGTGTCTTGCTCTGATGCCCAGGCTGGAGTACAGTGGGATGATCTCGGCTCACTGCAACCTCTGCCTCCTGGGTTCAAACAATCCTCCTGTCTCAGCTTCCTAAGTAGCTGGGATTACACATGTGCACCACCATGCCCAGCTAATTTTTGTATTTTTTAGTAGAGACAGGGTTTCTCCATGTTGGCCAGGCTGATCTCGAACTCCTGACTTCAGGTGATCCACCCACCTCAGCCTCCCAAAGTGTTAGGATTACAAGTGTGAGCCACTGTACCTAGCCACTAGTTGCATTTATAAGCCTATTGTTCAGGATAAATTTTATTTCCAATCTGTAGTGTTTACACTAAGAGGGAAAGAGGTGTAGGAGAGAAAACACTTGTCCTCCTACTCTCTTAATTATGTACTTGGGGCCTGCAAATTAAGTCGATAAAAGACATAAAATTAGCAGGAGAAAAAGCATACAAATTTTATTAATATTTTTACATCCATGGCAGCTTCACAGATAAGTGAAAACCGAAAGACGTGGTTAAATTTAGGAGCTTACATACCATTTTAACAAAGGGTAATACGTTGTAGAGAGGTGAGTAGTCAAAGGGAAGGGACTTGGGCTCCTAAGGGCAGTGAATTATGGGAAGGTGGCTATGAAATGTATGGTAGATAAGAATTGAGTAGTAAGGTTTGTTAGGCAGATTCATTTTGGTGCCATCTCAGGTCTTCCTGGTAGAGGAGAAGGGAACACCTTTATAAATAAAACTGTATGTCATATTTCCAAAGGGAAATTTATTTTCTGCTTTTAGACCAGAAGGGGAAAGACAGGTAGCTTTTCCTGTGTCTACTGTTTCTCAATTGCCTTCAGCTCAAAATAATCTTTATGCCAAAGTGGCATATTTTGGGGTGGCATATTCTAATCCTCTCCAGGGGTGATCAGTAACTCATATTTTATCTATTGGGCAATCACAGTTTTATGCCAAAAAATGAAGGACAATGAGGTGATCTTTTTCTTCTAGGAAAATCTTGAAAGCCCATTCATGTACAGGGATACAACTGGTAGAGGGTCTTGACTGTAAGTTTTCCAGGTTCTTGGTGTTTTGAACAAATAATTGGACAAAACACACGGCAAAGCAAGGAAAGAATGAAGCAACAAAAGCAGAGATTTGTTGAAAGTGAAAGTACACTCCACACTGTGAGAGTGAGCACAGCAGCAACTCAAGAGCCCCAGATGCAGAATCTTCTCAGGTCCAAATGTCCCCTAGAAGTTTCCCATTGGCCACTTGGTGTTCACCTCATGTAAAGAAAGTGGTGGCCCACAATCAGTCTGATTGGTTGTGGAAAGCAACCAATCAGAGGCTGAAGTGAAGTTACAAAGGTGACACTCCTATGCAAACATCTGACTGGTTGCAGAAAGCAACTAATCAAAGGCTTAGATGAAGTTACAAAGTTGCACTTATATGCAAAGGAAGACTTGGCCCGCAGTCAGTCTGGTTGCAGACAGCAGCTGATCAGAGACAGAAGTGAAATTACAAAGTTACATTCTGATGCAAAGGTGTGATTGGTTGCAGAAACAATCAATCAGAGGTACTTTCAATTTCCCATCTGACACACAGAAAAGGTGAGGGTTTGCAAAGGGAGTAGCCTCTGGTCCTTTTGTTACTTAGGCATGGAAAATCAGGGTTTTCCTTTCAGGTTAGTTCTAGGAAGTCTGTGTGAAATGGCCTTAGTTTCCCTGCCTCCAGACCCTATTCTCCTGCCTCATCTCCCCACTGAGAGACGTGGTCCCCATAAATCTTTATGGGAGGCAGAGGGACTGATGGTCTTTTTTTCTATGCTGACTTGGGGTGTATCCCTACCTGTTGGAGATCACGGAACAATCTCCCTGCTCTGTCTAGTGGAGATGGGGTGGCTTCTTGATGGCCAGGGGTGGTGTCTTCACCTGGAACTGGCTGGAAACCTTGTCACATGATGGTCTGAAGCTTGACAGTCTCTACTGCAAGAGGAAATGAATTTGGTTAAAAGATATAATGGGAACTTTGGAGGTGGATACCTATGCCATCAGGAATGTTTGTTATAGAAATGTATTAAAACATTTTGCTTAATTACTACAAAGGGGCTGGGCGCAGTGGCTCACGCCTATAATCCTAGCACTTTGGGAGGCTGAGGCGGGTGGATCACAAGGTCAAGAGATCGAGACCATCCTGGTCAACAAGATGAAACCCCGTCTCTACTAAAAATACAAAAATTAGCTGCGCATGGTGGTGCGCGCCTGTAGTCCCAGCTACATGGGAGGCTGAGGCAGGAGAATTGCTTGAACCCAGGAGGCGGAGGTTGCGGTGAGCCGAGATTGTGCCATTGCACTCCAACCTGGGTAACAAGAGCGAAACTCCATCTCAAAAAAAAAAAAAAAAAGTTACTACAAAGGTAGTGATTCCATCCATTTGGAAGAAGTCAATTAAACGCAAAAGAAAAAAATTTGTAAATGGCTACTATTATCCAGCCTATAGTAACTATGCAACAAAGATACCAAGGAAAATTGGTAGGCATTTACTTATCTTTTGGCTATCTTCTAAACAGGTACTTCAGGTCTTCCACAGGTTCACAAGTGTAGTGACAGATGGGAACTTGAGGTTCCTGTTCCAGGTCTTCTAGTATTGCTGTCTTGATCCTTGAAAGATGTATCTAGCTATCTAATCCTAGTACTTTGACTGCCGAAGGCGTGGCCAGTACCACTGAAAACAGTCCCTTCTGTTTTGGTTGTAATTGCTGAGCTGGTGATCGCTCCTTCCACGTTTTAACAAGTACCTTATCTCCTGACCTGATTTTAGGGTGCTGGTTGTTCCCGGTGTGGGAAGCCTCTGAATTCCATTTTTGGAAAGCCTGCTGAAATTGTCCTAGATTGGTTAGGTATTTTACTAAATCAGCTCTTTCTGGATCAGTAATTAAATCATTAGTCAAGAAGAATAAGATTCATATGGGCTTATATTAACGTTTGCTCTAGGGGTATTATGGATCCTTAAGAGGGTTAAGGGCAGTAAGCTGACCCAAGTTTCTGATGTTTCCTTACGTAGCTTAGCAACACTCATTTTAGAGTTTGGTCAGCCCTTTCTCCTTTCCCAGAGGATTGAGGTCTCCATGCTAAATGTAAATAATATTTGATTCCAAAATCCTTAGCAAACCCTTGAGTTATTGGGGAGATAAAGGACAGGCCATTATCACTTTGGAGGTTCTGAGGTAACCCAAACCCAGGAATTATTTCTTTTAATATAAACTTTATAACCTCATTAACCTTCTCTGTTGTGATAGGTAAGCTTCAACCCAACCAGTAAAACTATCTATTAGTACTAACAAAAACACATATCCTCTGCATATGAACTCTAACTGCCAGTCTTCCCCTGGATAATTTCCTCTCCTCTGCACTGGTTCTATTAGAGGAAGCATGTTGTCATGTTGTTTCCTGGGTTGTTAAGTGTACACAGCGAGCAGTCTTGGCAGACCTGCTTAGCCACTGAAGCCAAGTTAGACCCAGTAAAGAGCTGGTTTAACATGGCCAGAGTTGCATCCCTTCCCACATGGAAAGATGCATGCATGGCTTTTATAACTTTCCACTGGGCTGTCTGGGAGAGATATATTTTTGACCCCATCTACTACCAAGTTCCTTTCTTTTTTCTTTTTGTCCCCTTTGTTCCTTTATTAACGGTTCTTCCTGTAGTGTGTACTCAGGTTCTACTGGGGAATCACAGAAAGGCAGCAGTGCTAGGATCTGTTGGGATTGCACCCTGAGGGCTGTGGCTCTGGCTTCTCTGTCAGCTTTTCTGTTCCCTTGTGCTATAGTGGTTGAGTCCCTTTGATGCCCCACAATGAATTATAGCATGGCCTTTGGCAAGTTTATTGCTTCCAATAGCTGACAAGCCCATGCTTTATAGGGGACTGTTTGCTAGTTAGTAATCCCCTTTCTTTCCAGATTGTAGTGTGAGCATGAACTAGAAGAAATGCTTATTCAGAATCTATATAGATGTTAAGCTTTTTTCCTTGTCTCAACATTAAGGCTCAAGTAAGAGCAATGATTTCAGCCTTTTGTGCTGATGTGCCAAGGAGCAGTGGCTGGGCTTCGATGATTGTGTTATGATTTACTGCTGCATATCCAGCTCAGTGCTGTGTCAAACCCCACTTGACACAACACTACTGCCATCTGTGAAGCACTCATCCTCAGAATCTGGGGGAGGCTGGTCTTTAATGTAGGCCGGCTAACATTATGTATGTGCAACGACCTGCCGGCAGAAATGATCAGTTATTGGGCCTGTGGGCAGCAACGAGGCTGGATTCAAAGTGTTGCAGGTTTTAGGGGTTACATCTGGATTGTCTGGGAGCATGGCCTGGTATTTGGCTAATCTTTCCCCTGTCATCCAGATATATCCCTTTATCTCTAAGAATGACTTAACCTGGCGAGGGGGTTAGAACTTCCGGTGGTTGGCTCAGGGCGATTTTAGTGGCTTCCTCCACTAACATAGCAGGGGCTGCTATTGCCCATAGGCAACTTGGCCACCCCGAGGCCACTCCATCCAACTTCTTTGAAAAGTAGGTGTTGGCCTAGGTTCTGATCCTAATTTCTGTGGAATACACCCATAGCTATTCCCTTCTTCTCTGCTACATACAAAGAGAAGGGCTCAGTTACATCTGGGATGCCAAGAACAGGAGCCTGTTTTAACTTGGCAAAGACTTCTCTCATTTCTGGGGTTCAGTCTATTAGCTCATTTTCAGGCCCCTTTGTTGCTTCATATAGGGCCTTTGCTATGAGTATGAAATTTGGAACCCATATTCTGCAAAGCCCCACCATTCCCAAAAACAAACAAAGCTACTACTTGGTGTATGTGTTTTGGGGAGGGCGGTGGCAGGGGCAAACCACATGTGGCTTGCACTCGTTCTGGGGATATTTGTCAGGCTCTGGGTGTTAAGATGGACCCTAAGTGGCCAGGCGCGGTGGCTCAAGCCTGTAATCCCAGCACTTTGGGAGGCCGAGGCGGGTGGATCACGAGGTCAAGATATCGAGACCATCTTGGTCAACTTGGTGAAACCCCGTCTCTACTAAAGATACAAAAAATTAGCTGGGCACGGTGGCGCGTGCCTGTAGTCCCAGCTACGCAGGAGGCTGAGGCAGAGGTTGCGGTGAGCCAAGATCGCGCCATTGCACTCCAGCCTGGGTAACAAGAGCGAAACTCCGTCTCAAAAAAAAAAAAGATGGACCCTAAGTATTGCATCCATTAAGGGTAATCTGTGCCTTCTTGTTGGACACTTTGTATCCCCTGTCTGACCAGAAATTCAAAGTTTTTATTGTAGTTTGGTCAGAAACCTCCTGGGCTGGGCTACACACAAGAAGGTCATCCACACACTAGAGTGTACTCCCGTTCAGATCCCTCAGACCCCTCTCTAAGGCTGGGGCAAAGGAGTAGCGGCTATCCTTAACACCCTGAGGGAGCACTGTCCAAGTATATTATTGTTTTTCTTTGGTATTAGGATCTTCCCATTCGAAGGCAAAGAGGTATTAGGACTCTGGGGCCAGAGGAATGGAGAAGAAAGCATCTTTTAGGTCTGGGACTGAACCATTTTGCATCTCATGGTACCTGAGCCATAAGGGTATATGGATATGCCACCAGTGGGTGGTTGGGAATAACAGCCTCATTAATTATTCGGAGGTCATATACTAACTGGTATTCCCCCAGAGGCTTTAGAGTGGATAAGATGGGGGTATTGCAGGGAGAATTACAGGGTTTTAGGAGACCATATAATAAATAACACCTCAACCATGGGTCCTAGGCCTTTTCTTGCTTCCTGCTTCATTGAATATTGTTTCCATTGGGAAAGTAGCTGAGGTCTTCAAACTATTTTGACTGGCCCTGCTGTTTTAGCCTTCCCTAGTTTTCCAGTATACCAATGCCAATGGGTTAAGCTGTTTATTAATGTGGCCTGAAACACTGCATTTTTGAACTATCAGCAATTTCACTGGGTGATGCTTAAATTGTAGTAATGCCCTATTTTAACCATAATATCTCTTCCCAACAGGGGGATTGGGCAGCTTGGTACTGCTAGGAATTCCTGTTAGAAGAGCTGTTTCTCCAATTGACAAATCAAAGGAGGAGTAAATAATCTTGTTTGTCAACCCTATCAAAAAGTGGGCAAAGGATATGAACAGACACTTCTTAATAGAATACATTTATGTGGCCAACTAACATATGAAAAAAAAAAGCTCATCATCACTGGTCATTAGAGAAATGCAAATCAAAACCGCAATGAGATACCATCTCATGAGAATTAGAATGGTGGTCATTGGAAAGTCAGGAAACAACAGGCTGGCGAGGCTGTGGAGAAACAGGAATGCTTTTACCCTGTTGGTGGGAGTGTAAATTAGTTCAACCATTGTGGAACACAGTGTGGCGATTCCTCAAGGATCTAGAACCAGAAATACCATTTGATCCAGCAATCCCATTACTGGATATATAACCAAGGGATTATAAATCATTCTACTACAAAGACACATGTACATGTATGTTTATTGCAGCACTATTTACAATAGCAGAGATGGATCCAACCCAAATGCCCATGAGTGATAGACTGGATAAAGAAAATGTTGCACATATACACCATGGAATACTATGTAGCCATAAAAAATAATTTCACATCCTTTGCAGGGACATGGATGAAGCTGGAAACCATCATTCTCAGCAAACTAACACAGGAACAGAAAACCAAACACTACATGTGCTCACTAATAAGTGGGAGTTGAACAATGAGAACACATTGACACAGGGAACATCACACACCAAGGCCTGTTTCAGGGTGGGGAGCAAGGGGAGGAAGAACATTAGGACAAATACCTAATGCACGTGGGGCTTAAAACCTAGATCATGGGTTGATAGGTGCAGCAAACCACCATGGCATGTGTATACTTATATAACAAACCTGCACATTCTGCATATGTATCCCTGAACTTAAAGTAACATTAAAAAAAAACAAAAAACAATGAACTTGTTTATGGCTTCCCTTCCATTCTCATAACACTTACAGACTGGGAGGAAAGGCTTTCCTGTGTAAGCAGTAAGGACAGAGTAATTCCCCCCTTGTCAAAAAGAAACTAAATTTGGGTATCCATGACGTCTAGAGTTAGCTGGGGCTCCTCAGTAGTAATTACAATGTTCCAGGACAAGGGCAGTGAGGAAGACCCTGAGCCCCTTGGGTCTTCATCTAATTCCTCCTTTCACACTGCTAGTTTTGACTGACCCTCTCGGTGGGAGCACAGGCAGTCAATTCTCCAGTGCCAGGGGCCACAACTGGTGCCTTTGCATTGACAGCAGGGGCCAGGGTTGGGGGTGCGTAATACATGCCTTTCTCTAATGCCCGCTTTCCTTGCATTTGAAGCAGGAACCTTTGCTGGCATTATCGTTATGGTCCTTCGGGTTTCCCTTAGACATTCTTTGGACATTCAGGGCTTGGCCAATGATGGCTGCCATAATTTTGGCTTGCCATTTTTCTTTATTCTGTTCCCTTTTTCCTTCCTTCAGGTCATGATTGTTATACACCATAATGGTGATATCAAGAAGCTGATTTTGATTAGTTTGTGGCCCATCTGTAGCTTTTGGAGCTTATATCTAAGGGAGTGTAATAAGTTGCTAGGATGAATCGAACATCTCTCCATGAGAAAGCAAAGGCTAAGGTCAAAGTCTGGAACCCATCCGCAAATTTCCTAGGATGCTTGGAATAGCTTCCTAGTTTTTCCTTACATTGTATGTGAGTTACAGAGAAAGGAGCCTGTAAGAGGACTGGCCCCTTGGCTCCTGCTACTTTCCTAGGAGGTAGCAGGGCTGGAGAGAGAATTGAATATGGTGTTCATCTCTGAGTGTGAGGGGGATTTAGTAGGGTCCCTGGTGTTTGCACCTCAGAAGCACTTGGCAAGGGGCTCTATGGGGGTAGTTCCTGTTCACCCTGAGAGACAGCTGGCCCTTGTAAAAGGGGGTCATCTATAATATCTAGTTCTGCCTTAGCACTTTCCTTTGCGGGGGTTGGGTTCTGGGAGTTTTGCGGATTGTTAGTTTTTTTTCTATTGGAGCATGAAAACCTGTGCATATGGGATTTCTGACTATTTTTCCTGCCTCTTGCAAAGTAGGTCTAATAGCAGGATGGTGTCATAGTTAAGGCTACCATTGTCTGCCCATTGTTGGGGGCTGGGGAGGTCATAATGGGGCCAAATCATATTGCAGAAAAAAATTATGTGTTTTCCCTTTAGATTTTCAGGGTCAAATTGATTCTAATGGTGGAGGATGTAGCCAAGCAGGGCATCTGGTGGAAGGGGTGTAGCATTGCTCACAGTGGAATCAGGTGGAATAGAGAGTAGCCTATAGTGGTCTGAAGGACAGAAGAGGACTTTGAAAAGTGGAGGGTCCGTTAGGTGGCCCAAATTTTACTCAAGGCATCCCCCTGAAAAAATTCTGGATCCAGACTGGGGTCCCCAGGGGCATCCCCACTTTAGGACCCTGATTTAGTCTGTCAGATGTCTCTGACCTTAGATGGGTGCTGGCACTGCTTTGGAATGGTTCCCTCCACCACTGAGCACCGTCTATGAACTTTCCTTAAGGCTTTTCTATCCTACTTAAACAACCCTTTAACCCTTTAAATGTAACCCTTTAAATTAGGCAATAATACATTCCCTTTCATGAGTTTCCCCCACACACACCCCATGCCCCACACAGACCACCTACGACATGCCCAGACCCTCTGACTTGTATAACCTTTTTTTACACAGCTAGTCTGTCCTTTACCCAGATGAGTAGGTAAAGGTAAACATTTAGCATAAGAAAAGAAGGCTTAAGTTGCCTGAAATGTGTGTGAGTTCGTCCAGGATGAGCTTCTGCTGCCAACTCCATCACATGTAGAGATCAGGGACTATAACTGGAAAGGATAGAAAATAGAATTTCCCTCTTCCAGGCAGGGCAGCCATCCCTGTTCACTCCTTGGCCTTCAGACAACACAAGAGAGTAGCCCCCACCAGTTCCCCTCAATCGCCAAGGAGCTACTAGAAAACAGCAGCTCAAAGACTGAAAAAGAGAAAAAGGAATATCAGAAGAAGGAGAAAAGGAATAGAACTTAGAAAATCAAAAACAAAGTCAGGTGCAGTGGCTCATGCCTGTAATCCCAGTACTTTGGGAGGCCGAGGCAGGTGGATCGGAGATCAAAGAGGCTCAGGAGATCAAGACCATCCTGGTTAACATGGTGATACCCTGTCTCTACTAAAAATACCACACCCCTCAAAAACAAACAAACAACAACAACAAAAAATAATAATAAGGAAAAGGACTCAGGTCCCTCATCCGAACCCTGTGGTGTTGGTCAGGTGCTTTCACGTGGAAGACTTTCAGTTTCACCAGAGTGGCCCCGGCCAGAAAGTTGCAGTTGTTTCCGTGCATAGGCACTGTTCACAGAGGGTCACGAGTTGGAAAGGAAAACAGAAAGATTCTCCTATATGTAGCAGAGAGGAAAAGAGAGGAGAAAAATAAATCCCAAACTTTGGGCTTCCCTCCTACCTGGCTTACCAAAATATGTTACCAGTAGAGGGTCTTGCTGCAAGTTGTCCAGGTTCTTTTGAACCAAGAATTGGACAAAACACACAGCAAAGCAAGGAAAGAATGAAGCAAGGAAAGCAGAGATCTATTGAAAATCAAAGTACATTCCACAGTGTGAGAGCTGGCCAAGTAGCAGCTCAAGGGCCCCGATGTAGAATCTCCTCGGGTTCAAATAACCCCTAGGGGTTTCCCATTGGCCACTTACTTGGTGTTCACTCTATGCAAATGAAGTGGTGGCCTGCAATCAGAGGCTAAAGTGAAGTTACAAAGTTGCACTTCTATGCAAAGGAAGACTTGGCCCTGCAATCTTGGCCTTGTAATCAAGTGAAGTTACAAATTTACACTCTATGGAAACATCAGATTCTTGCAGAAAGCAACCAGTCAGAGGTTATTTTCAGTTTTCCAGCTGCAGCACAGAAAAGGTGGGGATTTGTAAAGGGAGTAGCCTCTGGGCCTTTTGCTACTTAGGAGTGGAAAGTTAGGGTTTTCCTTTCCAAATGGCTGTAGGAAGTCAGTGTGAAACAACTTCAGGTTCTGTCTCCAGACCCTATTCTCCTGTATCACTAGTGGAGTTCAGTGTGTACTTCCTGAAAATGGGAGCAGTTTTGCTAATAATTTTAACACAAAAGTAGGGTGATCAGATAAAATATCCTTATGTCCCATGGAATAGTTGGAATGTACTTATACTAAAAAATCATTTATCATCTGAAATTAAAATTCACCTGGGCATACTGTACTTTTATTTACTATATCTGACAATCTTATACAGAAGTCATCATGGGAAACTCAGAAAAGGCTGTCCAAATTATTTTGGCAGAGAGGAGTAGAAGAAACAAATGACATTTTTAAAAAAATTGTTGGGCCTTGTGTGGTGGCTCACGCCTGTAATCCAAGCACTTTGGGAGGCTGGGGCAGGCGGATCGCCTGAGATCACAAGTTAGAGACCAGCATAGCCTGGCCAACATGGTGAAACCCGTCCTATTAAAAATTCAAAAATTAGCTAGGCATGGTTGCGGACGCCTGCAATCCCCAGCCTCTCCGGAGGCTGAGGCAGGAGAATCGCTTGAACCAGGGAGGTGGAGATTGCAGTGAGCCAAGATCGCGCCACTACACTCCAGCCTGGGCAAAAGTGAGACTTTGTCTCAAAAAAATAAATTAAAATAAAAATAAATAGTGGTAAAATACACATAATAGAAAACTTACCGCCTAACCATTTTTAAGTGTACACTTCTGTGACTTTAGTATATTTGCATTGTTGTGCAGTCATCACCATTCATCCCGACTTTTTCACCAACCCATATCTGCAACTCTCTGCCCATTAAACAGCAAATCCCCATCCCTCCTTCCCTAGCCTCTCTACCACCACTGCTACTTTGTCTCTATGAATATGACAGCACATAGTATTGGCAGTAAATCAGTTAGCAAATGCAATCTGAAGCAGAGGAAAGGAAAAAGTCATATCCCTCAAGTTTTACAGTCCCAATAAAAGTATTAGTACTTTGAGAAAAGGAGCCTCACGGTCGTGGGGAGAATGAAGGAAAAACTTCATTTCTTTCCAGTTTGCCACCGGAACTGCCACTCTAGCGGGGGCCTCCATTTTGTGGCTTGCGTGGAGGGCGGACGATCTCTCTCTCCGCCACTCCCTGGCCTCGAGTAGGCACCGCTGCCAGGTAACCAAGGAACCCCGAGCGAGGAGTTGCCCAGGAGAGGCCGGATCCGGAAGTAGGGGGACCTCTCCGCCCCGCGGCCAAGCCCCGATCCCTTCCCTTTCCATCGGACCTCGGCCGACCTAGATGACGTGTCCGAATAGGAGTTGGCGGGGTGCGGCGGGTCGGCCTTGCGCATGCGTGACCCGCGCACCGGTCGAGCGGGTAGCGTGAGTTTGGAGGTCATTTTCCTTGAGAAAGGCTCCGCTTCTCCGGGTTTTTGCTGGTGCCGCGCGCGGGGGATTGAGGGAACATTGCGCTTTGGAGGGGAAAAGGTTGCTGACTTTTAAGACTCCCAGGTCGTGGTGGGCTCCCTCTCTAGAGTGGCTGGGTTACTGCAGGAAGTCACTCCCCTTTCTTAGGTGAATCCTTGACTGTAAAACGAAGTTAAATGTCTCTGGAAAACCTCAGGTTTATTTCAGCGCTGAAAGTCTGGCTCCAGATTCAGATCCAGCACTCTTGTGTCCTGGCCAGTGAGAGTCGTGGAGTGCTTTCCCCGCGCCTGCGGTCTCCAGGCTCTGTGGATGTACAGGTGTGGGATGTAGGAGCAGGTCCTTACCGTGGAACTTACAAATAAATGGGGGAAGAAGACAACAAACGTGATCCTCTCTGATAGCAGTAGATGTGGGATGCCAAGGTTTAAGCAGACGAGTGGTAGGCATTAAGGGATTTCAGGTTTTATAAAATTGTTTTTGCCAAGAGTGGAAGCTGAGAGGCTACTGCAGTAAGAAGTCCAGGGGAACTAAGAATTTGGCTTGGACCAGAGTGGTAGCTGTGGGCATGGAAAGTACTGAAAAGATTTAGTCCATAGTTTAGCAGCCCAACCAACGGGACTTGCTGAAGGACTGCAGGTAGGGAGTGAGGGAGTGAGAAATTAGGTTATCCTCCAGGGTTGAGGCCTGAGAAGAGATGGGTAGTGACGCCGTTTCCTGGAAAACAGGAAATATTTGGGATGTGGGCATTGAGATATAAAGAAGGTCAAGTTTTAGTGGTGCTAGAAAAAAAGTGATCAAAAATGTTAATTTTTGTTTCCTCCTCTTTCCTATTTGGAGAAAACATGTGTTTCCTTTTTTGTTGCAAATCTCCATGACTTCCAAATACAGAATATCTTACAGTTTTCCCCTAGCCCAAATTTCAGTGAATACGTTGATTTATTTGAGGGTGAGGACGTGAAAGGGAAGCCACCTAGGCACAATTTTCTGCTCAGGCCCTGCCAGATTAGCTTTTGTTATTTAAAAAGAAAAAATGATGTCATTCCTTGGGCCAAGGGATGTGCTCAGCACTTTCTCTACATTTTTCACTTAATCTTCACAACAACCTTAAGATGAACGTTTTTATCCACCTCCCAGTTCTCTCTTGATTGACTTGGCTGCCCCACTATATGGATCAGCTTGCAGGGTCCTAGGTCCCTTTGGAAATCTGATGAAAGTTATAAACCTTCCCTGGGAAGAAAGTCCAAGCAGCCCCAAGAACTTTAAATAAATAGGAGTTCACTGGCCCCCAAACTTTCCTGAGCTTCCTATTTCACAAACTTGCCCATTCTTGAATTCTGAGCTGGAGGTTGTGATTCTGTTAGGTAGCTTAAGATGATGCACTCTTTTGAAGTTTTCGATTGAACTCTAGTGTAGCCAACTGAATTAACTTTTTCAGGTCACTAAAAAGTTTCTCCTTGAAAAAAACTCAGAAGACGCAACACACCCATACACGTGTGTGCATTACACACGCGTACACCATATCACATCATCAGTGGGAAAAGTGACAATCTTGCTCATACCATATTAATCCGATTCGCCAGAACTACTTTCTTCACTGAGGTCTCAGGTGTGCTCTGGTCTCCCTTTGAAGAAAAGAAATGTCAACGCTACCCTCTATTCGCCTACTCCCATTTCCCCCCCCCACTCCATTTCCACTCTCCCTTAGAGAGATGTGTGCACACAATCACTGCCCAACGCAAGAATACATCACTGCATCCAAAGCTTGGAAACTGTCCATGCAGATGCCCCTGAGTGGCTATTTCAGGACTTGTGGCTAGTTCCTCCCCATTTGTTTTCTTAGCCTGCTCTCAACCAGGTGTCTCCCGAACTTTTCCTCTCCCAACTCCGCCTCCATCAGCAGATGCTTTCTGTCATAGGGACTGGCGTGCCGCGGGCACTGTGGTAGAGAAATCCTATGATGGATACGAGAAATTTGTAAGACCCAGCAGCAAATGGGGGACGGCTTGCGACCGCAACGCTCCACGGCCCCCACGCCTGGGAGCTCTAGATCGGAATTCGGAATAGGAACGTGAAAGGGCCGGAACATCTCTCCCAGCAACCACCCCAGCCGGCGCGCGAAAAACCCGGAAAGTGGATTTGGCCCCCGTTTCCTCCCGGAAACTCCTGTGGGTGCTTGCGACCCCTCTCACTGAGCATGTGCAAAGGGCGGTGCGCATGCTCGGTCGCGGTCCGGTTCGGTTTCTGTTGCGGGACGCAGGGTGTCTCCTAGCGCAACCGGAACTAGCCGTCCCGGGGCCGGCCTCCCTTATCTCCGGCGGCCTGTGGTGGTCTCCGAGCCTCCCCACCCCTCCTTCCCTTTTCATCCCCTAGGCTTGGTTGCCCTTTCCCCGAAACAGCCGTCATGAACGCGAGGCTGCCGGCGTCGTCTCCAGCTCGGTGGCCGCGGCTGTTGCTGCTGTCGCTGCTCCTGCTGGGGGCGGCTCCTGGCCCGCGCCGGAGCGGCGCTTTCTACCTGCCCGGCCTGGCGCCCGTCAACTTCTGCGACCAAGAAAAACAGAGCGACGAGTGCAAGGTGGGTGAGGCCTGGCGAGCCCCTTGATGCACTTTCGGAAGGGGAAGTCGCCCCTATCCGGGGGAGCTGATCCCGGGGTGGGAGCGTGGGAAGGGGGCGTTGCAGTGGGTGGGGTTGTTTCCCCAGAAGCTTTTGGAGTCTGCTGGGCTTTGGGTGGGGGGCCCTGGAACAGCGCTAGCCCTTGCAAGGGTCCATTCTGGAGGACTCAGTGGGCCTCAGACTCGCCTCGCGTCTTGCAGGCCAAGTAGCACGAGCAGCTGTATTCAGTTTTCCTGGAACAGAGACTGTGTGTGGAGCGCCCTTGGCGTTGGGCTTCACGCCGCAGAGCTTTGGTCCACGCTTGAATGTTCGCTCACAGCCGTGTATCACCTACGCTAAGGAAGCGGGTGACCGACTCCCTGCATGTGAGCAACACTCAGCCTGGTTACAGTTTTCATTAACTTTTAACTTCATTGCTTCCTGTTTAATTGCACTTTCCTGGAACCTCCTGGTTGCTTAGAAGAGCTTGTTCTTTCTAGGACTTTGATATCTCGCCTCACAAATATAAGTTGGTTCCTTATTTGTGGAGTGTAACACCCGGAACCGCACAAACTGCATTAATAAAGAGTTGCTGTAATGGTTTAGACACTGGATTTCAGACTGTTGAGTGTAAAAGATTTTAATACACAAATAAAAGATACCAGATCTCACTAGTTTCTCTGAGATGGTTTTAAACACTTAAAAGGGCAAATGATGAGAGTAACTAGTATTTTCCTAGGGCAAGTCTTGAAAACTTTGATCTCTTAAAACATTCACACTCAATGTTTTCAGTTTAATTGCTAGTAAAAGAGGCCTGAGTAAAGTAACCTGCTTTTAGATTATCTGGCGTAGGAGTTTACAGTAAATAGACACAATTATTTTGTTAAGTTTATTTAAAACTTAACATTTGGGGGATGAGGATCTCTTTGAAATCTTTAATGATTTTAACAATTCAAATAATCGTTCAGCAAACTTTTACAATCTATAAATAGGCTTATTTACTAAGTTTGATTTTTTTTAAGCTGGTGTTTATTTTATTACTGCTAGCTTTACTATAGCTGTGAGTTTTGAGGTTATTTTAGGGCATTAGATAAGCTATTAAATTTTTCATAACATTTTGCAGTTTCTGTTTAGGTTGTCAGCTATTCTGAATGACATGTTTATACATGTTTGCAAAGACTTATATCTATAAAAAATATCTAAGGATCTAAGGTTTACTAAAATCAGCAGTTCAGTACTTAAGATCACTCTGCAGCGTAAGAAGCTTTCACTCATTTTTGAGTATTCTGACTGAAAGAATCCCTTCCTCTTGTGCTTCCACATGGAAGGGAGATCTAGACTTGTAAGTACACTGGTTTTTCATTAAATATATTAGTAACCAACCTTTAAAGCTAGTATTTGGTCTTTAATTTTAACAGCAGTTGTATATTCTATTCCTAGTGCCTCAAAGATGAAAAATACATTTCCTGCCCACTAGGAACCTCACAGTAAGGAACATAAGCTTCTGGACAGGTTATTGAAATCTGATATAGTACACAGGATGATGTCCAAAGTGTTTTAAGACACAAAAGAGGAAACATCTGTGGACTAACTAGAGTCTTTAGGAAAGCTGTATAGAAGAAGTGACATTTGAAATGGACTTCAGAAAATGAATAAGTGAAACTTACAGGTGGTCTGCCAGTTAGATTGTTTTCTCAACAGGTCCTTTGGTAAGTGGCTAGGTTGTATTATAGTTATTTTTTAGTTAATCTTGGGGGTCATTTTGGATTTTTAATTTTCATAGGTATAGAGATAAAACAGGCAGAGTAGATCATTTTTCTGAAATGTTTGGATTTTTACTTTTATTGCCAGCTACACTCACATCTGGTTAATGGAAACAACTCTTAGAAGAGCAGAGGGTGTACTTTTAGCGTTTTTCCTACGATGTGACTTAACTGATGTAAAGAACTTGAAATAAACTTTCATACTTCTTTTCTTTGCCTTTCAAAGATGATGTTATAAATAACAAACAGTTTAAATTTGTATTACTTCAATCAGGATATTAATAATTTATTCTTATCCATTCTGTATTAAGAAGGACAGTCTTGCACACGTTATTCAGAAAAGTGGAAGGAACTTCTTTTAAAAATTAGAAATGAGAGTTGTGAAATGGAAATAATTCTTTCCAAAAGATGCTGTCAAGGTAGTGAATCTGAAGTTGGATAAATTGGGCAGGTTGTTGATACTGTTACCAACAGGTTTTCCATCTGTAAAATAGGGATAATCATATTTATTACGTATTCCCCTTGGAAGGTGTTTTGCATTTCTTAGAGGAAAAGTGCAATATTTGTCATTGTTGTGATAGTGTAGAGACAAATATATCTTTAATATGTATATAATTTAGGTAGTTTTGTGTTTTTATGTACTGTAATGTTTGTATTGTACATTTAGTTCAGGATGTAAATTGAGAGAATCAGAAGAACCCTGAGGATTTAGTAATTTTGTCTGTTTAAAAATTATTTTATGTTGAATTCACTGGTAGAGAAACAGGAGTCCAGTGAACATAAAATTATATTTATATTGCTTTAGCTTCTGATTAATAATCTTAGCCTTCATAGATAGCTTGAGTATGTTTTGATGGTCTCCTTTTTTTTTTAAGTTATTTTACATGTGCATGCATTTGAATATTGAGGTGGTGCACATTCTTTTTGCTTTTTACAGCCTATACTGTTTCATTCTATTCCTATACTATGGTTTGCTTAACCTTTCTTATTGTAGGGCATTTAGATTGGCCCCAATTTTTCTCTATTATGAGTAGCTTTGCTACAGTGTATTTAGCAGTCATTTGCATATTCCCAAATATAAAATTCTAGGCAAAGACAAGAAATTTTGTGGTTCTGTTTAGTATTGACAGATTTCTTTAAACGATGATAGAATTGATTTACAGTGCCTTTAACTAAATAATACCTTGTGTCACCACACTATTTTAATTTTTATCAACTTAATAGTGATGTGATGGTCCCTAAGACACTTTTTTTTTCTTTGAGATGGAGTTTCGCTCTTGTCATCCAGGCTGGAGTGCAGTGGTGTGATCTCAACTCACTGCAACCTCCATCTCCTGGGTTCAAACGATTCTCCTGCCTCAGCCTCCCGAGTAGCTGGGATTACAGGTGCCCACCACCACGCCCAGCTAATTTTTGTATTTTTAGTAGAGACGGGGTTTCACATGTTGGCTAGGCTGGTCTCGAACTCCTGAGCTCAGGTAATCCACCTGCCTCAGCCTCCCTAAGTGCTGGGATTATAGGCATGAGTCACCACACCTGGCCTAGACACTTTTTAAATGCTTTACTTCCATTGCTGTTGACGTTTCTGTGTCTTTTAGTATGTTTCTTTTATTTGCCTTATTTTTTAGGTTTTGAAACCATAGTAATAACAGATTGAGCTGTGGTGTTTCTTTCCTGTAGACTCTGCTTTCTTAAAATCAAGGGAGACTATGTGACTGCAATAAGTAGAATAAAGCCCTGATTATAAGTGAGTAGATCTTCCAGGCAAAGTACGGAGTTCTGATTTACTTTCTAAAAGTTTTGACTCTTTGAGTTAGCTACATGCTTTTTAGCTTTAGATCAAATCTTAGAGTGCTGAGTAGCATTCTGGCGGCTAAGAGGTGAAGATTAGCAAGCAGTTCACCTTTGCTGCTTTTAACTTTCAAGTAATTATTGGGTTGTCAACCCGAATTCAGACCTAAGAACTAAAAATAGTGTTAATTCTCCAAAACATCTGCCACTTCTTTACTGTTTGATGGATAGATCATGTTCTTAGATGAAAGATTACAATTTTTTTCCTTTGCTGTAAAGGAAAATGACCAATTATACCCCCTAGTGGTTAAAAAGAATGTTTCAATGAATTTAACAACTTTTTTTTTTTTTTTTTTGAGACGGAGTTTCGCTCGTTACCCAGGCTGGAGTGCAATGGTGCGATCTCGGCTCACTGCAACCTCGGCCTCCTGGGTTCAGGCAATTCTCCTGCCTCAGCCTCCTGAGTAGCTGGGATTACAGGCATGCGCCACCATGCCCAGCTAATTTTTTGTATTTTTAGTAGAGACGGGGTTTCACCATGTTGACCAGGATGGTCTCGATCTCTTGACCTTGTGATCCACCCACCTCGGCCTCCCAAAGTGCTGGGATTACAGGCTTGAGCCACCGCGCCTGGCCGAATTTAACAACTTTTTAATAAAAAGGAAAATTGCTTAGAGTCATACTTTCCTTTCTTGGTAGTTATTTCTAGAAGCATTTTATAAGTTGTATTTGTTATTCTGGGAGCAGTTGTGTATAAATACTGGAATGAGTCAAATTTAAGAAAATAGTCCTG